TTGTATTCAATCATCCTAATGAGGAGTCATTTACAAATTAATAAAATCGTTTAGTATTTATTCCCTCACGGTAAATTCTCTTACTATCAAGTACTTTAACCCTGCTGTTTTCTCTAACTAGGCAAACCTAAGAAAGAGATTTATATTCAAGAGATTTCAGTAGTCCCAGACTTTCTAGATGTATTTCTGGATGAACTACCCGGACTGCCAGTAGACAGAGAAGTCAAATTCATCATAGACCTTTAGCCAGGCACCCAGCCCTTGCTCCTTACCGCATGAGCTGTTTTGAGATAGAGGAACTGAGAAAACAGATTATCGAACTACAGGACAGTGGGTTTATCTGATATAGTATGTCCTCTCGGGGTGCTAGAGTCACCTTTCCCAAAAAGGGAGATGGGACGTTGAAGTTATGTATTGATTACAAAGGTCTAAACAGAGTCACAATCAAGAACAAGTATCCCCTCCCCATAATTGATGACCTCTTCGACCAGTTGTAGGGTGTCCAGGTCTTCTCCAAAATAGACCTGCGTTCAGTTACGATCAGGTAAAAATCAGGGCAAAAGAAATCCCCAAGACACTCTTTCGAACCAGGTACGAATACTATGAGTTCTTGGTCATGCCATTTGGACTAACCAATGCTCCAGCCATCTTTATAGACTTGATGACCAGGGTCTTCAGACAATTCCTAGATCAGTTTGTTATTGTATTCATCGATAACATCTTGGTTTATTCAAAAATCAAAGAGGAACATGTCCACTATCTAACTCAAGTTTTACAGGTTCTTAGAGAAAAGAAACTATATGCAAAATTGAGTATGTGTGGGTCCTGGCTTGAACAGACTACCTTTGTGAGACACATCATATCAAAGGATAGAGTGCAAGTGAACACCAAAAAGGTTGAAGCGTGCTCGGTTGGGAAAAATTGACATCATTTAAGGAGATTCGTAGTTTTCTAGGAATGGCGGGTTATTACCACAAGTTTGTGAAAGGGCTTTCTAGTCTAGCTACTCATCTGACTCGGCTCACAAAGAAGAATGTCAAGTTTGAGTAGAACAAGAACTGCGAAAGAAGTTTTTTAGAACTAAAGAAGCGGTTGACTACTGCACCTGTGTTGGCCTTGCGAGCGGATCGGGTGGATATATAGTTTACAGTGATGCCTCATACCTA